ATGAGAGCAAGAAAGAAAGGACCTGAGAGCCAGAAGACAGTACATACAACCCAGAAGAGCAGTGAAAGAAAATCACAGGGAGTAACTGGAGAGCAATCAGTCCAAATTGCAGTTAGAGGATGAAAAGGTTTCAGAAGAAGGTACTCAGGGGAAAAATGTACGGGGTGGCAGACTAGAATACACACAGGCAGACTGAGATGATGAAAGCATGTGACAACGGAAAGGCCCAGAAAGCAAGAAACAGGGAAACTCGGAGAGGAGGGAATCTGTACAAGAAATTCACAATAAAAAAATGAATCAAACTACTTGGTAGCATGATTGTAAGAAAATGATGGAGCATAAGCTTTGAAATCAAAACCATGATAGTTTGTATGTCCTGTTAAGGCATGGCATGCAGACCACAGATATTTCAATCCAATCTGGCACAGGACTTAGCTGAAATTCTGTAATATTTACACGATTAAAATAAACCTATGTTTTTCACATTTAGATCCATAATATGGAAAAAATGAAGATAGAGTAAAACTGCATAAAATTATTAATATAATCCTCAAGTGTAAAAGGTAGAGGAGAATTTTTTTGCATCGAAGGAGTTATGATATTACAAGAACAGAAAAGGAAGTTGAAGACTAGCTGCTGTAATAAACACCCTTAGACAAGCATAATAGTACAGTTTTTGATTTTTATTTTTAAGTTTTAGAATCATCTTAGAAATATGCCATAATTATAAAAATAGGCAAAATGATACAAATATGTGTGATGTAAAAGTACTTAGAAAAGGCAGAGGACACGCAAGGCTGAGGGGGCATGGAACTCCCCATCTTGTCAATCAAGGCCGACATCTCAATTGCCTAGGTTAATGAGACAATAAGTAGAAATGTAGGTAGGTTGCAAGTTGTGGAGAAAGTTAATGGAGACTATGAAACTAGTTGCATTTGACCATGAGTGTATATGGAAGAGAGGGCCAGGTGGATTTGGGTTGGCATAATTGAGAAAAATTCATGCCTACTGCACAGAAATCGAAGGTAATGTATAGGATTAATAAAGCAAGACATTACAAGATTGAGGGTAAGGAATATATCGACAAAAACAAACAAACAACCTGAGCCCTGAATAACAAGGATATAGACCTAGAACCAATCTCTAGAAGAATTATCAACAGATGCCACTTAAAGTAGTCCCCCTAGTGGAGCAAACTGGGAAACTGCGATGAGTTTGGGAAATAGGGGTGAGTTTGGGAAACACTGCTTCTCATCATAAATCCTTGAGAGATACTATTTAATCTCTACAAAGACTGTTTAAGATATACTGATTAAACAGTAGAAGTAGCATGACGTTAATTTTAGTTTCTACTAATGCCATCCAGTATGGTTTGCCCATATTAAGAGAAATGAAACTATTTTCCAAACATACAATCCTCTCTGAATCTGAATCTATTATTTTAATATTAGAAAATACTAGCTACTCCTAAAAAGTCCAAAAAATTATTAACTTTCCTAAAAACTCTATTTTCTATTCTAGCATACCAATGATGTTATTTGAAAGATTACATAGGTGGTTTGGCTGAAACTATAGAGCTTTTACTTCAGTTCCAAAAGCAAGAAGAGGATATGTACAAACACACCTACTACCCTAAAATGTACCCTTTTGCCTATAATTTACATATTAAACTGATTCAAGTTTTGTTTGCAGTGAGATTCTCAATGTAACAAACTCATACATTCAAAAGGGCTCACAGTTCCCTTGGCAAATGTGAATGCACTTGGAGAGATTTTCAGAAGCTACTATTGCAACGGCACAGTGGTTGTTACACCCACCTGCGCTATTAAGATTTCTTTCCATTGAACATTCATTCAGAATTATCTACTGACCCTCTTTTTCTCCTGGCATTGTGATTGGCCCTCTTTTTCTCCTGGCATCATGATGTATCCTTCTCATTAGTCATATTAAAGAAGTTAGAAAGCACAGCCCCATCAAGTGACTGTTTTCAGGTCTAGCTTCTGGCCCATGAAGTCATGTATTGGACAGGTCTCCATGTTTCCATACACAGGTTTTGAAGAAAGGGTTTGTGAGTGAGTTTAGTCTGAATGACGGCAGGGCAATTTTCTTTTCACATAAAGTTCTTTGTGGACATTGCTCTGACAGGTGTTATAAAGTCAATAAAACACAGCCCTTCCTGCCCACATGGTGGTATTCCATAAAGGCTATCTGAATTCAAAGCACAGCCTTCTCAACCTGTTGGTAACTTTACAGGAAGGTAAACACTTTCAAAAGTGGCTGTGGCCCTGTAGAATCCCGCCCAGATCTCAGGAAGCACAATAGTAAGGCCCAAATTGCGAAGCTTTGCCTGATCCTTGGTAAGAGAGGGCTTTTGTGCATATCTGGAAGAATGGACAGTTTAAAGACCATAATACAGATTCTTTGGCCAAATACCCTGCAGAACAATTTTAAAGGCCATTGTGTCTCTAAATAATTCTTCTTTTTGGAAGAGTTCATTTTGCTTAGAAAATTAACCATTTAACCATTAATCATTAATTTATTTTATGTGATTTTTCTTGACTGATTAAAAAATACTGATTTTATTGCTTTTTCTAAGTCTTTTCCTTAAACATAATAATATAATAGAATAAATTACCAACAGTGACTGGCCAGGCATTTTTAAGAAATGGCTTAATGCCTTTTAATAGCAACCTCAGTAAAGGTCTGAAAAGTTCACAGCTAAAATTGAAACAAGCCCAAGAAGTGACTATATTTGTAAAACTTGATCAGAATTTGGGAAAAAATAATTCTACTGAGACAATAATATAAGCCTATCAAATCAGAATTTTACATAGAGTTTCCAGAGCTCTACTAATGAATACGGACTCATTGGTCAGTTATGGTGAAAATTTAATGCAGCTCTAAAAGAAACACATGAATCAGAATGTGTTCAGTGGCTCCATTGTGTGAGTATAAAGACTGCATGAGACATCCAGTTCTTCCATTGCTTTCTGAGACCAATTCTAGAGCATACAGTAATTAATACTTCAGCATTTTGCTTGCATCAGACCCTGCCACTGAATTAAAGCTCCTTTTATTTTGCCACAGTCATGAACTATTTGGATGTCGTGTAAAATTGTGATTGGCTGCTAATATGGTGTTCTAGTTTTCAAGATGGCAGGTAACCTGCAACTGAATCCTTTCTAAGAAAATGATAATCTGTAGGATGAGTGCTAAGATAGAATTGAAGACACTAGTATATTACTCTATAAAATTGCATCTGTAGAGTGTCGCTTCCTGTCTACAGCCCTGAAAAGTACCTCTTCATAGAGTAAAAGTCTGAGGCAAGTTTGATTTGAAGCAGGCCCTAGTTTGAGCCCCAAATGCTTACATTCTAAGACTTTTCCACCTGATTAGGATGTATGTACACATGCTTCATAAAATTTCACCTTCTAAAATTGGTTCAGAATGTCAGCTAACTTTTGTTATATATTAACCTGTTTCAAAATGGCTGAAACTGATAGAGCCAATAGTTACTGTAAACTAAACAACTTATCATTTTAATTATTGCTGAAAATATTAGGATCTGCTCTTCTCTTCTTGAGAAATGATTACATATTAAGTCATCTTTTGCTTCTTATAAGAATTAGTCCTTCTCCAAGTTAGAAACTTATTTTAGCCCATTTCAAATACTTTCTTATGTTTAATTTTTAAAAGATAGCCCATAAATCAGAGAATCTGAAAAGTAGAGAGAGTAATCAACTCATGTATATGTTGTCTTGTTAGGAAAAAAGTATATTTTGCCTGTATGATTTGTAAGGAGATTTTCAGTTATAGAAGTCTATCACTACTTCCATCCATCCATCCATCCATTCATCATCCATCTATCTGGCACAGTAATAGTAACAAAAATGATGAATAATATTTGTATTATAGGGTGGTGCCTGTGGCTTAGTGAGTAGGGCGCTGGCCCCATAAACTGAGGGTGGCGGGTTCAAACCCTGCCCCAGCCAAACTGCAACAAAAAATAAACCGGCATTGTGGCAGGTGCCTATACTCCTAGCTACTTGGGAGGCTGAGGCAAGAAAATTGACTAAGCCCAAGAGCTGGAGGTTGCTGTGAACTGTGAAGCCATGGCACTCAACTGAGGATGACAAAGTAAGACTCTGCTTCTTAAAAAAAAAAAAAAAGGAAAGAAAGAAAAAGAAAAAGAATAATAATAATTGTATTAACAGCAAAGGGAATTTATTGAATAATTACTTTTGTTCCAGAAACTCCCGGACAAAAATGCTTTATATAGGTTATCTCATTTATTCCTACCAATGACCTCTCAATGATATATATGAGAAAACCGAGTCTCAGAGGTTATCATAACTTGTTCACAGTGAAAATGATTAAGTGCAAGAGCTGACTAATTAGTCTAATGCCAGAGACTATTGTTTTTACTGGTGGCTAGAATAGTTTAGAATACTTTATTCTCTGCTTTACATATATTTGCAAAAGTGTCTAGTTATTTCAAATTAGGTTAACTTTTTGGCCCTACAGCTCTCAATAGCCATACATTTTCATGACGCTATTTTGTCTTAGAATTTCTTCCTAGCATTCACTTGAGACTATGACTAGGGTAATCAGACAACCTTTTTTCCAGATCAGGACACTTGTAAGAGTGAAAAGGGCTGCATTAGTAAGCATGCTGGGATAAGAGGCACTAACTCAAACTATCCAGGCACGTGAAAATACAGGGTCCTTCCAACAGGAAATCTTTTCTCTGCTCCCAGTGTAGAGTGTAGGTTCTCTGAGGACAAAACTAGCTATTTTGTTTGATGGTTCCATGACATCATCTTTATTTTTTCAGGATTCATTTTCTGAACAACTATTTTTGTCTCTGTTACAGAGTTGAAAATTTGATAAGCAACCTAAGAAACATAAAATATTTTAGTATTCCTTAGAGCTGATTAGCTATGGACACACCAGAACATTCATTTCTCACAGTTACAGTATAAGTATAAAACACCCTGTACCTTTAATAAGTCCTTTCTCTTGCAGAGTTTTCAGGGAAGGTCTCCGGGTAATGAACTTCTTTAATCTGCTTTTAACTCGGTTTTTGTCACTTGTATCGGAAGCACTATGATGCAGTCTGAACACTGAAGATGAAAAAAAAAAAGAAAGAAAAAGGTTTCAGTAAATTTCTTCTTTATGATTATTACTTTCTGCAAATACTAATAGAAAACAGTAGTTACGGAAAAACTCCCTGCAATAACCACTCGGGCTCTTCTGTCTAGACGGTATGTGTATACAAGTAAAACTGGCCCACATGAAAAGCCTGCGTCCCGCTGCAACGTGAATGTGCTAAGAAAATGTGGTTGGCTCTGTATGTTTACCATGGATTTTCACTTTCCTTCTCTTATATTTAACATGATCATCTGCAGAACACCACTTATTTGTATCTGTACACAAATTTCTCGGAACAAAGAGAAACTTATCTACATTGTAGGGGAGAACTCTAACATTGCTAATTTCAATGAAGTCTGATTACATATTATACTATCTCTAGGTAATGCAGGAATTTTTGCTTGAATAATTTTGTCAACTTTCTTTTTTTATGTTAACCCAAAGTCATTTCTCTTTCTGAAGCAAATATTTCTTATTCTCTTTACTAATATATAATTACCACTAGTTCCAGGTGAAATTCAGAAATACAAATTTGCCTCAGACTTTTCCCCTGTTTTCATTAGCGCCCTCTTCTCAGCTTCCCATTGTCAGTTTTACCTTCAAAGTCAGGTGTGTATTAAGTTCATCCCGAAACAAGTATTTGCTGAATGTCTACTAGTCATCAGGCTCCAGGCTTAAGGCTCTGAATTCAGTATGAATATTAACACAGAGCAAGGTCTGGTTTTTCATAAACCATGGGGTCTGGACACATTCAAGGTGTCTTATCATTACTGACACTTAGTAATTTGTTGTGTCTGTGAGACAAGATGTAGATCTTAACTGAATCCTCCATGGTCTTAACCCATTTATTGATGTAATGTGAGAAGGTGGGACACCTTACTAGGTATTGTTTTTAACAAATATAGGTCTGCGTTTTAACATCTGCCTGGTTCGCGGTGTGAGAAACTTTCTCATGACTGGCCAAGTAAGGACATTTTTGAACCCTCCCTCCCTGAGCTTTGACTGAAAAGCGTTGCAAATTTGAATTGGCAAGATGGGAAGTTAAGGTGAAGTGCAAGGCTGGCAAGGACAGAAAGAGGAACAGCCTGCCTGCCTTGTAGGAGAGTGGAGTTTTATTTTTCAATTAAATTAAATGTTTTGATTATCACATGGGACCAACTGCTATAAGTTACTAAGTGGAGACAATGTCACTCAAAAGGACCATAATATTTTGTATTTATTACCTTGAAGTAATACTTCCCAACTTTTTTATTGTTGATATTTTAGTCTGGACAATTCTTTGTCATAGAGTCCTGTCCTCTGCAGGCTGTCTGGGACGTTGAGCCTCATCCCTGGTCTCTAACTACAATATGCCAATTGCACGCCCTCCTTAGTTTTGGCAATCAAAAAAATGTCTTCATCCATTGCCAGATGGTTCCTGAGGGGTGGCTGTGTGCAAAATTACTAGCTTAGACTAATGGGAAAAGTTATTAGATCCACTTAAGTTCTCATTGATTGGTGGGAGGTGGTCTACCCATACACCGAGAAAATGTAAAGGAATTCTGAATGGAAAAACTACAGTATCTATCTATCTATCTATCTGTCCATCCATCCATCCATCCATCCATAAAATTATATATATGTGAACATACATATCTGATCTATCATCTACCTCTGTCTCTATCATCTGTATATCTAACTAGCCAGCTAGCTAATATCAACTACCTGTTTATTAAATCAACTGATATTAAAACCACAGCTTGTATCATGTGAGGAGGGTGAGTAGGTCTATTGTTTGAAACAATTGGGACTCACTGTTACAGACCTGAGCTTCCCATCTATTGTTCCTGGAAGAATGAGTCGTTTAGGTGTGAGAGTTATAGAGGCCTTCAGCACACGGGGTGATTAAGCAGGACCAAGGAAGCCTGACCGCTGGGCAGTTGCATGGTCTTCTGCTATGAGCAGTCTTATTCATTTTCCCCAGTGGGTTGCACAAGTATTATCATTTGCTCTGTGTATCTTAACTTAAAAAACTGTGAGAAGCAGTGTTTTAGACCTATGCTATCAGCATGGTTCCACTGGTCACGTGGGGCTACTGAGCACCCGAAACACAGCTTGAGCCGTACGCTGAGGTGTTTTAGATATTTTAGGTTAAACAAAATATCTTATTAAAATTAAAATATTATTAAAACCTGCTTATTTTTACTTTCCAAAATGTGGCTACTAAAAGATTTTACACTACACATACGGCTTACTTTATATTTCTGGACAGCGCCACTTATCTGATTAAAAACAAACAAATACAAATCGACAACCTATCACATACAGAGGTTGAAATCCATTGCTGGATTTCACTGCTGTGGATAAAATACCCATGGTCTGTGTAATTATGAAATATGGCAAGGGGTATAATACAAGTACAAGAGACTAAGGGATCCTGGAGGAGGAATTGACCCAAATATCCTTAGAACCAAAACAAGTAAAATTGGCTTTCAGAGGACTGTAGATATCAGGCATTAACTGATTCAAAACTGCATGGCGGAAGAGTCATTCTGAGCATCTTCACATACTGTGCTCATGTGATATCATATCAGCTTTCATCCTATGTCCATTCATTGCAGTTAATACCAGTGGTACGGGATCTGCTTCATCTGAAAGAGATAGTCGAAGTCCGTAGGTCTGGATTCTAGTGTTGCCAGCGGAAGGAACACTTACCATCCTATGGAATTACACTGCTTGGGGCAATTCGAATCTCAATTCCATCCTTGGAATGGCATCGAATAATCAATCTAAGTTTTCACAGGTTACCGAAGGTAATATTTTCTATTTCTGGTCTCTCATCAAAATCCTGCCAATCCCCATGACAAAATACCAAGAAATGCAGGGCCAAACAATGTATATTTTTTGCCATTTTGGAACTAGTTAAAACAATGGGATTAGAAAGTACTTTGCACATTAAAACATACATTTACAGAGTATACATGCTAGATTACAAAAATAATTATGTAGTGAATTATATCTTTTTGAAACCCCCCCCCCCAGGTATTCTAGTGATAGTATTCTTAATTAGAGTGATATATATGTATACTATATTGTTTTCAATACCACCATCTGGCTCCACATGTGAGAAATGTGTGTGAGGTGCATTGGTTTTCCAAAAAAAAAAAAGGAAATATGTTTTTTAAATGCTTTATCTTGTTTCCTTCTCCAATGTACTGAGAAAGTAGCAGTTTCGGATATGATTATACACTTTATAACACAGTCAAACTCTCCTAGAGACAGACCAGAGCGTCAACTTTCATTTCCTGATGCCACAAATAATTGTCCTCAGATGACAAGTCAAATTACAAGGCCTATGCCATCATTCACTCCATTCATTTTAAGAAGAGTTATGCAGAATTTGAAGTCAATAGACAACTATAACATATAGCATACTTGTTATTAACCAAATATCTTAAAAGCACTATGAATACAAAATAAAAATGTAAAAAGTGCATGGTTACAAACCAAGGTCCAAAACTGGGTCCCTGTAAACAGCAGTAAAAGTCGTTGAATATTGTGGTTTACAAATCTGATCTTAACAGCCAAACTTATAAAACAGTTTATGCTTTTCTGTTGTCAAGGGAGAAAAACTTGCCAAATCGTTCATTTTAAGTAAATACAACATAACCAATTAAGGAAAGCAAATTTAAACACATGCCTATGATAATCAGGACATAGTTGGCTTCTGATTTCACTACTGATTTTAACAGAACAGTGTTCCTTCCATTTTCCCACAGCACCCAAGTGACCCCACACATACTTTTAGAAACTTGTAATCACACAGTACAAATAAAAGGACACTTTACTGGAAAATACACAGTGTGGTACAATAATCCATCATTTATGAAAAATAGAATTCAGCCTTTTCTTTTTCCTCAGAGATTCAACTCCTTTTCGAGGGTTAAGCTTCCTGAAGTTAAAAAATTTATGTTAAGCCAATGAGTAGTTTTTTTTTCCATTCCCATTTAAACTTTTTATTTCAAAATGAAAAAAAAAAGCCCAAAGAGATATGGTTTAAACTCTAAAACATTTAATCTGATTTATGTGGAAGACTAGAGGAATCATTTTTAATTCTATGTATTTTCACCTCCATAGTTAACCTGAATTGTACTAGCTTTCCAGGCACAATAGAATTTACCTATATTTCCTTTATGTTCTCTTCTCTATTTTCATTGATGGGTGCTCTTTTCTTTGAAGCCCACAGAAATAGAATACGTGAATAGGAATTTTGAATAACATTATGCACTTTAAGTCTCAATACACAGTAGACAAAGGCATTAGCTATAAGTACCATTCTTAACCATTTAAAGACTTGAAGTTAAAAACCGCTCTAACCAGAGAAGAGTTGGAATTCTGGGCTTTCTAGGATGTTAGGATAGTGGGCTTTCTCAGATGATCAGTTAATAGCATTACAGATGAGAATAGGCATTACTCCAACACAAGCTTTACACTCCAGGACGCAGCTATTATGGTGTTAAAATCACTTCTAGGGGCAGAAACATTTAAGGTAATGATTGGCCTCTGCATGTTTATTTTCCCACTTTAGTAACAGGAAGAAGAAGCAGCACATTTTGGATCATGAACATCTACTACCGTTACATTAAGGGGATGGGAACCACAAAAGAAAACCCCCAAATCTTCCAGAATCCAACAATTTGGATAATGTGATCCAGAATTGTGCATCTGCCAGAACTTCTCTTGCTGGGGAACTTATTTTGAAATATCCCTTTCCCTGCCAAACTGCTGTTCTCGAGGTATTCCCATGTTACAATTACATGTTGTTATTATTATTTCTTTTTCTAATTTGAAAATGCTGGGAGAGCTAATGTTTCAGAAATGTTGCTAAAGGGCAGCAGAGTCATTATCCTTCAGAAAAGCTACAGTAAACAGCTTTCTAGGCTACTTGTTCTCACTTTATTGGTGAGGTTTGACATAGGGATCAACATCAGGT